GAGAGAGAGAGAGAGAGAGAGAAACGGTAGGCTGCTACCAACTGCAAGGCCACTGGGACAAACTCACCAACCACTCCATAGCCGGCAGTGCTGGTTGGGTTCTGCCATGGCATGACTCTGACCTCCTCTTCTGCCACCTGCTTCCACGGTTAAGGACACTTGGGGTGACATTGAGTCTCAGGGATGCGAATGGTTATTGTGCTCCACTGCTAACTGAAAAGTTGGATGTCTGAATCTGCCCAGAACCACTCTGGATGAAAGACCTGGAGAATCAGCCAATGAAAGCCCTGTGGGGCCCAGTTAACTCTGACACACGTGGGGTCGCCATAAGTCTAAGTGGGCTGACTAGGGAGTAAGTTGGCCCCACTGGGGACTGAGGATACTCTTCCTATTTTAAGTCAGCTGATGATCAACTTTTATTCCACCTGTTCATTTAATCCCCATTGCTCCAGCTTCTGAGAATTAGGTCATCAACATCTTTGGGGAGTGGAGGGATCATTCTGACTACCACAAATGACAATGGTCTCATTGAAAATTTTAACATTTTATTTACAATTTTGATATATATAATAACAACTTGTCTGTACATGCACAAAGGGGCTCCAACAAGTCCGTGGGAAAATGGGGAGGGATTACAAGGAACAGGTGCTTTGAGCTCAGTTGTTGGCACTATCTTGGTTATCTTTAAATCAGCCTGGAATTGTCTTTCGTAGCTCTCTCTCTCCAGATTAAAGTTCATATGTATGTACTGTTTGCCTGTAATAGTTATGTGGGCCAAGAATGGAAGCCATGTATTGTTTAAAAATCATCTCATTGGATCAAGAGTCTATGTACACTTTTTTTTTAATTTTTATCTTAAATTTTTGGAGGTTTCTTTATAAATGTAAACATATTAGAAAATGAAATAATTGTGTATTTATACCTTACTTCCTAGGTTATTTAGCACCTAATCCAAGATTTGGATCATTGCCTAAACTTGCACGTAAGTCACAGACATGAAAGGAAAAATAAGATACTGGAAGAAGAGATGTTTACAGAAGTTGGAGATACGACTGCCCCAACTGCCTGGACTGCCTGTGTTGGCTCTGAAAATCCTGTGTCCATTGTTTTCCTCACTTAGCACTTCTTACTTTGATTAACCTTGTCTAGTACCAAGTTCACAGCAGTGACTTGGCCATAGACTGTTCTAAGTATAGACTAGGAGGAGCTAGCAAGGCAGATAACTAGCTTGTGGATGATATATCCATTAGCGGTTTTAATTTTCTTCTTTTGGCCTGTCTGTTAGAAAGATGTTTTACAGTGGACATAGAGCATGGATTATTGTGAAAATCAGCAACCTTCTATACATTTCCTATAAACTTGGGGTTTCCTCTTCTTCCAGTTGGGACACATGGTCCTTTTATGGACAAAGAGAATGCAATCTAATTTCTTTCCAGTGGGAGCCACAGGGTAGAGATTTCCTCCATGTTACATGCTAAGAGGAGACTCTGAGTAATATAAACAGTTAACAGACATGGCTCAAAACCAAAAGGTTAGAGATTCAAGGTCACCTAGAGGCCCCCTGAAAGCAACTCCTGGCAGTCTGCTTCCCCAGAACTCACCCCTGACCCCTGTGAAGTGCAGGGCTCCCTGTGGAGCCCACGGCTGGTCAGACACACAGGGCACCAGGGGCTGGAATCAACTGGGTGGAAAGTAGGCAGGTATCCTAAGGAAGGGGCCTCTCTCCGGTGTGACCTTTATTCTTTGCAGTGCTCTACTCCAAGTCTATAGAGGAGGTGATGGGGTCCTCCAACCCACTGTCCAGGAGGCTGCTCAGAGCCAGGACCCTGCCCCCATCTCCCTCCCCTCTCCTGATAGCCACGGTCTTTTGCCTGCCTGCTGGGCCACCTGAGGCAGCACCTTTGCTGGCTACAGCCTGACCTCATCGTTCCCAGATCCAAGCTGAGATCAGAAAGCCCTCACTTGCCAGGCCTGCTTTATAATAGGGTGCTGCGTCCTCAGAGTTTTCGTTCATTGATTCATCCTAATACTCTAAAATATCAATTACTACTGTTAATTAAGAAAGTTTTGGAGAGGATTAATAGAGAAAATTCAGAACCTTTAATGGGCCTGTTTTTTCCAACCTACTTTGACAGTTGCTGGGATCTTGGGATTCGGGCTTGGAAAGGCCTCCTACATAGGAATATGCCAGAGTAAATTCCATTCTTTTGAAGATCAACTCCGTGGAGCTGGATTTGGCCCACAGCATAATAGGTTTGTAATCTTTTTTTTTT